AGCATATGTTCAGTCTTAAAATGCCTAGCAAATTACGGAGCAGGCAATAAGTCCAGCAGCTATCTCAATCAATCGTCAGTTATGGAAAGATCGGGTTCCAAAGGCCGGATCCCTTGTGAATCAAGTCACGAAAAGTTCAAGAATCGGCAACAGGCCATGGGCCTATTTCTTCAACGCCGACACTTCTATTCTATTCTATATTATTGGTGATATGCTATTGCAGTGTCAGCTTCTCAAATTACGGAATCGCCCGATTCTCCGCCGCATTCGATCGATCCATTATTCGCCACATGTTCCGCACTTCAGCATCTTCAGCTACTTCAGCGCCTTCAGCTTTTAAGCGTGACCCCACCTGTTGTGAACAGTGAATTACGCACCCGACTCCCGAGTCACCATTACAAGTAAGCCACAAAGAAGTTATTTTATTTTGATAGCTTCCCAATTTTGTCTCTTCTTGAGTTCTTGCTGTGCTGTCTAGAACTTAGAGTTAGAAGGCAGTCCAGTAATCTATGTTCCCAAGCCAAATTCAAGTATTCACCCAAATTTTGGATACCCTAATCAATTTTTTCATTAGTCTTCTATCTTTTTTTCCATTTGTTGCCATGTTTATGTATCATCAGCAGATCAGCCACTCACCGCAGTGTGTAATTCCAGAGGGGTAATATAGTAGGCTAACTGGTAAACATAGCAATTTGGAAAGCATGACCTAAAGATCTGGAAAGCCCAGGCTGCCCAGCATAGGGTAAACGCGGTATATTCCGACACTTTAAGGACGTAGCAAAATATGAATGGCTATAAAAAACCGTACATGCAACTCGAGTTCTGTTTGCTTTACATCACTCTCCAAAAACCGCACTACTGACTTAGTGACTACGCGCCAGCAACAATGAAACGTCACAAAATGTTGCCATATTTATTTAAGAGCCTTTAGAATGCAAACCTACCAAATCCATATATTCCAACACAGTCAACAGTGCAACACTGTATGTGAATAAATTTGGCATTTTGTGAGACTAATTCCGGCCGTGCTTCACACTCTACTAATTCGTAAGTCCGACACTCTTGTGTTCAAATTCCGATCGCTGTGTGAGCTGTATTGGAATACAACACAGCTTGGAATTAGAACACTATTGAATATTGAACACTACTTATTTAGGCTTTTAATTAAGAGCTATTAAGCTTTTAATTGAGAAAATTCTAATTTTTGCACGCAGCTTGGAACGAGCTGTGTGTGTCTCATTCCAAGTTGTGTCGGAATTAGTTTTTATGTGTCTATAACCGTCTCTTAACTTATCATCGATTAATTTATTTACGACTTAAAATCAGCAGATACAAGTATACTTAAAGGATTCCTAATATATTCACAGACTTATTTAAAAGTCTCAAACCATAATATTCTTTCTATACAAACAGTTTATTACTATTTGGTAGAGCAAGGTCAACTATCAACTTTGACATTTTTTTTAATTTTCTTGCCAAAAGTCGGCTTCTTGCTAGGTGACGTGCACTGTCTCTCTTTGGATCTCAACATTTTCGATTTTCCTGCCAGACGGCCCAGACCGGTATTACTTTAGATTAAGTGCATCCAAAAAAAGTTTTTTTTAATTATATGTTTTTTGGGGTATAGAGAATCTGAAATCCGTTTTTGGCGGTACTGATTTTTTTCCAATTTTTTATATATTTTTTATAGAAAATGACAATGGGGGGCCTGTGGGGAACCGGGGGTTTTAGGGGGCGGACACGCATGAGGCTCTGAGTCATCAAAAAAAAATCAGGCAAAAATTAGCAAAAAATTGGAAATTTTTTATGACTGAAAATGATCTATATCGATCTGGGAATGACTGTAAACCTATGTAAAACCCAAAAAGCATGCTAGGTTAGGTTAGGTTAGGTCGGGCGTGTCCCCCCCCCTAAAACCCCCGGTTCCCCACGGGTCCCCTTTTGTCGTTTTCTATAGAAAATATATAAAAAATCGGAGAAAAATCAGTTTTCCAATGCCGACCGCCAAAAACGGATTTCAGATTCTTAATCTACACCCCAAAAAACATATAATTAAAAAAACATATAATTAAAAAAAACACCCTTTTTTGGATGCACTTAATCTAAAGTAATACCCCCAGACCTAGTGTTTTGGCAATAGTATGGTGGGCAAAAGTATGACGTCACTATTTCAACCATCAACGAATGCCTGTACCTATGAAAAAGCTTAATATAAAGGAAAAAAGTCAAGAAGTGTTGTAATTACCCACGATGTCGGAATGTACCGCGTTTACCCTACCTACACTTTCAGTCCATCATCATCACTGACAAGTCTCTGCAAGCTGCCACAGCTGTTTCATTGAAAAAAAATAGAGCTTACAAGCCACCTTACATCATCACAGTAACAAGGATCCAATCAACGCTTGAATGCGTCCAATGTCACAGTCACATGAATCTAATCATCACTAGAATGCATGCAACGTCACAGTCACAAGAATCCAATTAGCATCAGAACCGACAGAACATGTGCAACATCACAGCCACTGGAATCCTATCAGCGTTAGACAGCTAGAATAAACCGCCCCAAATGCACACAATGTTGACGCACTGATGCTAATTTAATGCGTAATGCTACACTCCTTATTTCAAGTGCGTAATACGATAATGTAGTTATGTCACTATTGATGGAAATTGCAAAGAATAACACATAGTGGCAATCAAGAACACTTTTTTAGGGTAAACATCCCATTTCTGAACACAAATTAAGCCTATGCATTGCAGACTAAATTTATGAACGTGAATGTTAAACAATCATAATACAATTCATTAAAATCAGTTAACAGAAAATCTTAGTTTTTATGCACCAGACACCTCTGACTCATATGCTAGTAGAATCAAGGCAGATGACAGTGCATGACTGGAAGCACATGCATCGACAACCATACGCAGCGCCAGTTCAAAACGCACTGCTGGCTGGCTGCAGCTGGCAACACATATATTGACAACACGCATCAAGCTATGATTTGCCGTTCGGACTTTAAGTTCAGATTTAGCTTGCATTCTCTCGTTCAGAAAAGAAATAACTCACGCATTTGTCATAGCAGGAGATGTTCAGGTGCTTGCCTATCCAGATTCTGCATTCGATTTAATTCCTGATTTAGAGCAAACACTGTGTTGAGGGGTTTTTTGCAAATGATATATCGATCCGACACTTTGTGAACAAATTTTTAAGATAAACTTACATGACAAATTTTCATGGCACATTTTCCATGCGTTATTTTATGAAATTAAAAGCGATCTCAACCAAATTATAAACGAAACAATTTATTCGCGATGCCCTTGAGCCAATGAACATGATAAATGATCATTTTTTTCACTTCTTCCCCGCATTAATTAATTTTCCTCATTAGGCCTAAAATATCTCCCAAACTAATGAACTTAGCAAATGTTCAAAAAATGGTGATGTTTAGGTCATGATCATTTATTTCAATTTCACCTTCATAGCACCTTATACGGTTCTAAATTTGCAGTGAGCCTAACATATCTCCTATCCTCATGCACAGGCTTTTCGTGTACCTTTAATTAAAGGCACAATTAAAAAATAATCATGACCTAAACATCAACGTTAGGTGAAGATGCGTGCAAAGTTTCATCATGCTGCATTCATTAGTTTGGCAGATATTTTAGGCTCACTGAAACTTGTAGACTGCGAGCCTGGCCATAAAAGCGTCTGAGAGGTCTTATATATGCATATATATAATTCCCTTAACGTTTGCAGTAGTGTATTTTGAATAAATAGCTTTGTTGTTGGAAAGGTTAAGCTCGGTTTTGATTATAAAAACTTATGTGCCTGAAACGTGCTACAAATTTGCTTTTATCGCGCTAGTTAAAATTGAAATGAATTTTGACAGTGCTGGCAAAAAATATTGTCTGTATATAGCTTTTTTTAGCTTAATCATGATTGAAATTATTTAATTATGCTTATTATACCCGCTATGAAAATTCTTTCCATAAAATTCATCCTAAAATTGTTGATGCGACTGGTCTGACAGAAGTGTGTCGGCCATCCCATAAGCGTGGGATAGCATAGCCATCTTGACGCCACTTCGGCATGATTTTTTCTCCATCCATTAGCAATAGATATGAAATTTAATGCAGACATTTAAATACTGATTGAGCAGCATTGATGTTTTTTTATATTCATGTCCTCTCATCTTCAATTAATACCTACGGCAAAAGAGTGGAACCTAACCAAGCCAAACTTAACCAAAACTGTTTAAATAGGGAGTAGAGGAAATATGAAAAAATATCCACGCCACAAAGCAATTGGCATTGAAAGCTGTGCATTTAATTTCATAAATGTTGATTACAAATAGAATGAATGGGCTGTGTCGAAACGGGATGGCAAAAGTGCATGCTAACACACAAGCAATTTTTTCAATGCTGTCATTTTTATTATACCTATATTCAGGAAATTTTTTACAAGTAATAACACGTTTGAATAAGCAAACTGATATGACGGTTGCAAATGATTAGAAGGCATGATTATGCTGCCGGAGGTTAGTGCTTATGCTGCAATTAATTTCGTACTTTTGTCCGCAGCGCGGGAAAATAACATTCTAATCCGGGATCATTATATAACGGCTAATTGCTTGTCTAAATGCGTACCATGCACAGTGACGCACTGGCATACATTTTGCAGTAATTTGATATAGACCAGGTCAAGAATTTGTTGTCGTTTAGTGTATCATTTAATAATGAACTTTTAATAAGGAGCTATTGCATTCCTCGTGCAAATTCATGTACTAACAGCTTAACATGACTACAGAAGTGGTATTTCAAATGATGAAAAGTGAATGAGTGAAGTGATTAAAAGTGAATGAGTCCAAATGAGGTTTCCCCAAATCCTAGATTGCCACCATGCCTTCACCCATCTCCCCCCTCTTCCGGTGCTGGCCCCCCGCCGGCCGCCCACCACCAGAGCCTGGTGAGCGTGATGGTCGCAACAAACAACAACAATTGCAAGCTTCATATGAGCAGCCGTATAGCACTTTCCTGTATCTGTAAGCTTACAGGATGGCTTATAATTTCACACCATTTTAAATGGGTCAAATTGAATTCACTATAATAAAAAAATATTGCAAAAACATTCCTGAAACAGAAAGGAATATTCTAGTGACAGCCATCATATTTTATGTTGCCTGGTGCACAATTCTATCTATGACATTCTCTGCACTATTTTGTGATGACTGATGATGCATTAATTTTTTGTTGATTGAAATTTGTATGACTTAGCAAGGTAAATATAATCAAATTTTTTTGTTGTTAATTGTTTTCTTTGTTAACTGGAGCCTTTGCTAATCAGGGTTCTACTGTAAATGCATTTCTAGGGGTGTTCCTTATTACCCTGGGGGGCTGTCCT